ACAGTGTGTAGATAAATAGCAATTGTATGAAACCTCTGTTTAGTCTATTTTGCACTAGTGTTGCTCAAATCGCTGCAAATCGTACTTGATCAAGGATCTGCCACAATTTATGCATACCTGCGGTGGACTCATAGTCTAGACTGTCAGTATCAGCTTGGTCTGGCCAGCTAATAGCGGACACACTGATAGTGTAGTCTGCGCTCGATGAGCTGGACTGATGGTCTGGTGTAGTGAGGTCAGACGGACTGTCAGTCTGGTGTCGTCAAATCGAATGGACTATCAGTCCAGTTCAACTTCGACAGACGGACTAAATCGCTAGTCTGAGATGCTTGGACGGACTACTTGAAGTACTGGGAGCCTTGATCTAGCCCAGCTTGCTGTGAACGTGCCTCTAGCTCAAGGGCAGCACCATAGTAGCGAGAGGCCGAGTCTACAGCTTTCCAATCCCAGATAACATTTTTCAGTCCATTGAATGTAAACTTCGTTGATTCAAAGAGTGCATCGCGTAAGAAAAGACGGCCCCAGTTGAACAGATTGCCGGAGAGCCAAGCAAGGCCCGAAAGATGTCAAAATCTAGACCATAAAGGGTTTCGCCTTTATTTACATATTCGCGTTGAAAAATCTGGGATCTTTTCGCCACGCGATGGCAATTGAGGCTGTCTTTTAACGAAGTGGCATCGTCGTCACGATCATATTCTTCTGATGATTCTCCCAGGACGCCGCCAGTCGACTTCCACGCCAGAGTAGGAAGTCTATGACCGCAATCCACCCGTTGAACTCCCATAGCATGGAGGCGTTGGCATCCGTCGTATTCGAAATGAAATATGGCACGTGGCAACCTTTAAACCTTACTGCATCGGGGTTTGCGCCGACGAAGTCCAAGATATTCGATACTCCTCGCGAACCCCAATACTAGTCTGAAGAGAACTTTCAAGAGCATGTTTTACTCGGTGTTAAATTGCGTCAAATGCTTTTCTAAGCTTTTCTAGTTTCTATTAGAATATAGTAGACTTTCTTAAGAACCCTGTAACTCTTTCCCTCTAGTTTCCTCCATTAGACGCCGTCGCCGGATTCCCATGCTTCTATTTCCAGCTTTAGCTCGGCCGAATAGTCTCCAAATTCTGCGAAGACACGCTGCATGGTATCATTGTGCCTGCGTGGCCACCGAAACCGTTCAAACATAGACTTTGTGCAGTCCCAGTACTCCGGGTAGTAGCCAGCTGCCTCCCAGTCCACAATTCCGGACACCTCCCAGCGCAGCGTACCCGTTGCATCCTTAACTTGGTTGACAATGATATTACGGGGATTGAGATCAGCGTGTGTAAAGACAATTTTATGCCCTCGTCGGCTTGGCTCGTCGGGGAAGCGTAGCTCCTGACTAAACGCGGCTTCGTCTTTGAATGGGCCAATCGGGGCAAAATCACGGATCCGGGGGTCTCGGCAAGCCTCTCCTCGGGTATCGCAAATCACGAAATCAGGGTTGACGGTCTGGGGAATCTCCCGTATCTGGCTGACGTAGGCTTGGATTTGTAGCTGAATTCGCTGGTAGTCAGCATCTGAGATTGCATCCATGCAAAGCGATAATGCGGCACCCGGCAACTCAGAAGTAAGCATGTACGATCTGTGATAGCCCTGGGGAAGAAGTTCGCGGTTGCCTTGAACCCACTTGGATGCGAAGTCCAACCCACGTGGCACGGGTACGCCTGTATTTTTGCCAACAACACCAAGAGCGTTGAATTCGTTTCGAACGCATTCAATATTGGCACTGTATTTCAAGAATAATCCAAATGGAAGCTTGGCAACAATGCCGGAAGCACCAGTAGCTCCGTACCAGTAGTCTCCAAAACGCATTAACTTCTCGTAGGCGGAGAAACGCAGCGCTTGTGGAATTAGCCGCCAAATAAAGAAAATAGGGCGCGAGAAGAGCCATGCCAAGCTGAACGGCCTGCGACGTGATATCACGCGCACCAGTGGAGCTGTAGTTGCGGCAGGCGCTGTTGCGAGCAGGTCATCATTGCGCTTGTGCAATTCAGGGGCCATGGTTTGGATGAGGTTGACAAGCTGTACACTTTTGCAGAGCCTGGCGTGAGTACCAACGAATCGGGGGTCAACCTTGTCGATGCCTGCACGCGAGTGGTCGCCGAGTAGTGCCATGCTACCTTTCAGTTGGATCGGGTCGTGCAAGGTAATGGACACTGGATGAACTCTATACTATAATTTTAGATCAGGCGTCAGTACAAGCACAGGAGAAAAGAGGGACTCGGCGGGTACCTCGACCATGGATGGCTGTACTCTGTCGAGTCTGATTTGTCCACACTTTAAAGCCCTGGCCACGCTTTGTCTGACAAGCCAGTGACTCGACTGTGCCGATATAAAATCAGGCATATCAATAGTTCTCAGCCACCAATCGAGGTATGGCCCACCGAAAAAGGCAGAAAGTAGTGGTACCGAGCGATCCTTGTAAAAATCAGCGTTTTGAACCGGGGACCTGGGTGTTCGAGGGACTTGCCTGGTTCTTGAGCCAATCTGCGGGGAGAGGTAGGATGGGCGCGACGATGAGAGGGTCCCGGAGAGTGCCTCGCATGCCAGAGACACAACATACGTTTCCATCGCGCTCCATAATTTCGCGAACTGTGGTTTTGTCTGGTGCTTCCAGTTCAACTCCGTTACTAGAGACTAGACACGTTCACAGTAAATTTTGCAATCAACATGAACTGGGAAACGGACTGGCTTACCAGCTTCGACAACGTAGATCCAATCAGATACCAGACGATGCGCTTCTTCTCGCGATCCAATTCTAGACCGAACATGCTCGGCGGCTAGGTCCCAATCGACGGCATCGAGAATGAAGGCGCGAAGGAGAGCAGTAGCAGGATGGGGTAGCTCGAGCGCTTCAACCAACGACACGGTGCCATCGACGCTTAGTCTCGGCGGGTCCATTGGAAAGCGTTTGTAACACGTTTCAAAGTGACCGAGGTAGCTGCAGGTGACTGAAGACGTGTTGAAGAAGATGAAGAAAAAGGATACGGAAGTAGGGGGGAGTTATGAAGAGGGGGAGGCCAGGCGCAGGGGTTTGCTGGTGCGCGTGCCTTTGTAACTAGGTAGCTTCTATATGGCGGGCGGCTAGAATCGCCCCACTCGGTGCGGACCGCAGAGCACTACCAACACGGTCAACAGGTCAAACATGTGCATTTAATGCGGATATCTGGTAGTAAGCCGCATGTTCGGCAACTAGGATGCTAAACAGAGTATCAGGACTGTGGCTGATTGCTTGCCTTCTGGTTGGCTCGGCTCCTTCGCCAAACTGTCCGCCTTGCCGCCCGCAATTGAAACGAAGCCTGGCCGCGGCCAGTACCTTCTTTGATGCATGCGACGAGGGTTAGGCTGTTGCCTACATGGGCAACTCGAGAGAAAAATAGTCCACCGATATTGATGATTCGATTGGATTAAGTTGATTTCACCGCCGATGTTGGGTCACGCCTAGTGTCTCCCAAGTAAAAATGCTCCCTCATGCTGTCTTAAAGGTGAGGGTATGTAGCCTGTCCTAGTTACTGGGCCAAAGTGGCCTCGACCTTCTGGAGACAGTAATCTGGCCTTGCATATCTCTGAAAAACTGAAGATGATACCAATCGTATAGATTGGAAAAAATGACTGGCTAGGAGGCGCAGACTTGAGCAAGCTAACTAACACCACAATGAGGCTATCTCCGCCATCCGAGTCTTGCTTCAAGGACTAAAATAGATCATTCGAAGTATAAAACAAACCTATTCCTCCCTCATGGATTCCATAAAACTTCATCATCAATCTTATCAATATTACAAACTCCTCCTCTGAACTATTTCTGTCTCCATCAGCTATCTGAACCTCTCTCTATTTACAATGTCACGCCTGGAACGCACAAAGTCGAAGACGCGCCCTTACACTGTCTACGTCACTCTACAGTATCTACGTACAATTGGAGAACAGAACAAATATGTAAGAAAACAAGACGGTATGGTTTATCACAGGCAGCTATTCTAACATGGTCGATAGCACTGGGGCCTCTACGTTACCGAAGACAATGTCCCTGAGGGTACTCTGTTCCACGCGACTGACCAAGGCCGCCGCGCCTTGGACCTCTACATGGAAGACCGCATCGTTTCTGATCCCATGAGATCGAAGAGCATGTCAGCTTGTCTCATTCTTTGCAATGCGCCGTCAATCAACACCATCAAGTCAATTGCTGCGCAAGTACCTCTCATGAATCCCCGGCACATTCCTCGTGGTGAGGTGCAATGGACATGCCGTGTGTGGGTAAAGGAGGTTTTGCGTGGTCTGCAAAGACACCAGGTTATTGAACTCCCTGAAACGATCCGTAGGTTTCTTTTTGGAGAGAACCTCGTATCCACTCGTTAACGATCTGTCAGAGAACATCGAGAACCACGCAGTCCGTGCTGCGGATACCCTACGAGACTTGGGAGCCACACGACTCATCAACGAGCTTGGTTGGATCCTTCCACAGACGCATGCAGTGGGCAACAAGACGCCTGTGAGATACTATGGGCCGTCCCCGATGGATACTGAAGCTGAGTACCGCGGTGACCGTCGTCACGGACATGGTGACCGTTACTACG